GAGTTAACAAACATTATGTCCAACATCTTACAAGTTATATCTAAAACTAAATCTATCACAAAGAAAGAGCTAACTAACATCTGTCAAGTTTTTTAAGTAGACTAACTTGAATCCCTTTCTATTGATTCTAGGTAATATCATATTTTCAACTTAAAATTCTTGGCACATACTCATAAATATAACTGGTCATTTCTTCACACATTTAGGTTGTGTTTTTTTTTAATTATCTACTAAATAACTTATATAATTTTATATAGAGTAGATGAAATGTGGCTAATAGTTGAATCCAAGAAGCGTGTTTCATTCTGTTTGATGAATCCCGAAATGGGACGAAACGCGCGTCCTAGATTTCATTATTAGTCGATTACATATATTCTATACAAACCTGTATCTTCGTGGCTATCAGTACATAATGCACATATGCGGACCAAGACTGATCGAATTTCAGTCAACTTGTCAATAACAGGTTAATCCAAACGATTGCAGTTGCAGTAAATTATATAATGCTTTATCACAGTTTTCATAATAATCCATTATTAATCCTACTGATTTTCTTGAATTCACAGAATAGTTAGACATATAATTGTAATCTTTTGACTTGCTTCTTAAACTTCTCTATTTTTCATTCTTGTCACATTAAATCAGGTACTTCTTTTTATATTAGCTTGTTCATATGTAGTAAAGCCCAATTGCTAAGGGATTATGAAATGTTATGGGTAGTGGCACCTGAATGAAACCCAAGAACAATTAAAATGAATTTGTCTCTTTCTATAAATAAAATCTTCGTTCCGATTGCTTTTAAGTTGGACATTCAAACTGTCAATTTCTATTCGGAGTCAAATCGCTTTGGTTCAATTACCAATAAAGCTTTGAATATGGGGCACAGTTGCGTAATTGCAAACCTTTTTGCTTTTATATTGTCGATAAAGACCTACTAAAAAACTGACATAGTTTGTCACATATCAATTGACATTCTCACTGGTATAACTCAATCTAGTCTCTGATTCAAATCTCACCGTTGTACTCTACTCGCTTTCAATATCTTTTACATTGTTAATAACCATGTCAAGAAGTTCATTATTGTATCGTTGTAAGTGGTCAATCACAAGCTAGAATTAAACAGTCAAGTGTTTAATATTTACTGATTTTCAGTAGTTCTTTAGCATTTAATATTTTATTATAAATTTTAACCTTGAACGATAGTTATCAGTGTTACAATAAATAATCAACTGTTATTACTTTCATAACTGTAATCTAATGATAAAAAAAACTTATTTTATCATACTGTCGATCTGATACAAAGTTTTTACTATCTTGGAACTTCACATATTCCCATTGATCAAAACATAAAATTGAATAATTCTGTATCAACCACCATATTTTAATTTTATTACCATAAGTAATAACAGGAGTGATTACATAATATGTTAAGTAGGTTAAACATGAACGACTCAAAACGACAAATTGATTACCCTCATTAAATGGATTTATCCAGAAAGAGACGTAGAATGTTAGTTGATTGTTATGTTACGAGATTAGAATATAAGTTTATGATATGGATTTACTACTTTAATCAACCCCTCCCCCCATATCTGTTTTTGAAAGCATGACCAAATAAACTTAAGTTGACTATAGTAATTTAAAGATTTAATCATACTTCACCTTGCATTTTTCGTCAACCATATAAACAGACTCATTTTACCATATCAAGCAAATATTTTCATTAGTACAAAAGGCTTGTGGAGACCTGAATTTTATAGTTTACATCACGAACCAAATTTAGGTAGGTAGCCAATATATGCTCACTAGCAGCTAGTTTCTAGAGACCATTCATGGAATTCCAGTGCTAAGCCATAACCAGTGGAGTTCAACCAAGTCAGATGTGAGCCCGACTTGATTGAACTCAAGCAGTTACACAATAACGTCACTGAAAGTTGGTTACGAATTATAGCGAATCGTTTAGAGTTTAAAAAAAAAGCAAATTACTTTGTGCCAACTTATTAGTCCAAATGTTAAAGGTCCACCTTAAGACTGAAGTTCATGGGTTGGATACCAGATGTGGTCATGGATGCCCACCGCTAAGGTCTCCCATAATAAGACGACAGTTGTCCAACGCTTTCTGTTTTTTAATGGCTGTCTGATTAATTAGGATTAGTTTGTGATGCAAACATGAAAAAAAAAAGCATTTTCACTAAGAAATAAGTAGACTAAACGAATTATTTTTTGTAATAAGGTATTTATTTTTAGCTCTATGAAAAGGATGAATAACAACTGGAAACAGCTGGAAAGGATTGCCCAAGAGAGGGTTGGATAGAGAATGCTGTTGAGCGGCCTATGCTCCTTCACGAGGAGTAACATGCGTAAGTAAAGTAAGTCTACAACAATCTATATGTTTTACAGTCAATAACCACAAAGCGATACCACCAAGTGGTGATGAGTTATTGGTTAGTTAAAATTAGAAAAATAATGATATCAAAACATTAAAATTCTGTTTACTCATAGTTATTAAAATAAAAATTTCTCTTATTAGCCAATTTCACTCTCTTTTGGATATCTAATTTGAAATTGTTATAATTGTCCATCTTTTTTTAGAAACGCTACATTCGTTATCATGGTGTGTTCTCCACACAAATTAACATCAAGCCAATGTTGCAAACCTTGTTGTTAATAAAATTCTATACATTACAGAGCTCATTGCTGTTATTATTAAACTAAGTAGCAATTCAAATAGTTGTAATCATTGTCAGGTATCTGTGAGTAATAGATTAAAACATCTTTAATTTATATATATATATATATATATATATATATATATATATATATATATATATATATATATCAGTTACTATTAACCGATAAAATGAACGGCATTTATAAAACAATTTCTTTGGACGTCTTCTCTTTTTGCCTATTGTTTGTTGATGGGTATTTTTTTTTAAAAGTGAAATGTCGTTTGATACACACTAGTCCATAAATTTATTGTCCATTTGTTCTACTTCCTGATAAGTACTGTCCACTTTAAGTCAATCTTTGGTTTCTCTGGAACTCAAACAGACTAGTGAAATCGTTTTTTCGAGTTCTATTGAGGGAACATAACAGGGGGGTTAGTAACAAAAAAGGTTTTTTAACAAATTAGTAATCATACGTGAGAATTAAATTTTCTCAACAGCCTTTTTTTGTGGAAAGCTGCACATTCGTAGATCTATGACATTAATTGATATTATTATCAGAAGGGGTTTTGCGGAGATCGTAGTAATTTCAACAGTTGAAATCATGAGTCAATTGAAGCTAGATTACCATAGAAAACCTCGAAGTACTGGATGACCGTTTCGTCCTACTTTGGGACTACTCAGCAGTGCGCATCTACGATCTCGCCTCATGAGATTCGAACCCAGGACCTATCAGTCTCACGCGCGAGCGCTTGACCACTGGACCACTGAACCGGCATCCAACTGTGTTAATGTCTAACTTTAACTAATCCACGAAATTGAACGACATATCCACCATTGTTATTAGTGAGTTACTATCTCACAACAGATCTGGTTGAACTCCACTGGTCACTTCTTCTCACTAGAACTTTATTACAGTCCATTCAAACCTACCTTTTACAAACATCGATAAAACATTAAACGCTTTGTGACATATAAAATCAGCATTCGCCAAAACACACGACCTATTAAGTATTCAGTTATCCAGCTTCGTATTAACAAGGTTTATATTAGATATCACTTGTTCAATACTACAGGTTGTGATTGATAAATCTTCTGATTGAATGCTTGAATCGGTTTCCTAAGCTCTTGTAATAACCCCAGGCTATCTCTACACGACAACTTGAACATGAGAGAAAAGGCGAGTAGTAAGGAAAGAACTCTTTACTCCAAGATTAGTTTATGTTCAGAAAATTGAGGGTATTTGTAACATTTCAGGCAACCTTGGGCTTACGGAAACTTATGTAACCCTACCAAACATAGTAGCAGAACGGGCAGTTACCCAATCAGAAATATAACACGTGACTCTGCACTTTCTAAATGTTGTTGAGAAACTTCTATTCAATGCTGATTGTTTAAAATGTTTCTCAGCGTTTTTGGGGCCTATTAAGGCTTTTTTCAAGGAATTTTCTAGGTTTCTCCAACAATGATCTCATATGCAAAAATGTTGTAATTTATAAACTCTTAAAATTAAGCTAAAGATTTAAGAATAACTCAACTGTTCGAAAAATACAAATTTAACAATATACAAACAGTTTTTAATTTATTTATTCAGATTACAATATCTTGAATAGAGTAAATCATCCTTTTATAAACAAGCATACTCAAGTCTAGATGAATATTTCTAACATACTCGTAGTGAGACCTATTTTTCAACAGATGAAAGTTGTCACAGCTTTTCTTTCCAATGAATAATTCACTTCACTAATCAACTAAATAAGAATCGACCTAATGAATCTTTAAATATTAATAGTATTAAAACTTTGATAAATTTCGACAATGCAATGACATGACGATAAACTTCGTCTTCTCATTGCATTATCGAGTATTGAAACTATTGTAAATTTGTCATTCGAAAGTCATTCCATAATTTGGTTAACTTCAATTGTGAAATATTATGAAAATGATTGATAGAATTTCATATTATAACTCGAAACTAAGTAAACTGGTTTATTTTGTTTATGTTCCAGTCAGTCAGTGGAAACTTTGTCTATTAATATTTAAGAACATGATATAAGTAAATATCATGTCATAATAATTTTTTTCTGGTTAGCGTTTTTTTAGTGAGTTAGTTTTCTACGGAATGGGGTCACTAACCCCATGCCCAACCCTCCTCCTTTATCCGAGCTTAGGACTGGCAGTAGCCCCCAGAGGGACTCCAGGCGAAGAACAAATTACGCCGGGAAATAGAGATAGACATGAGAAAAATGAACAAGAATTGGATGGAACTAGAAAAGAAGGCCCAGGACAGAGTGGGTTGGAGAATGTTGGTCGGCGGCTTATACTCCATTGGGAGTAACAGGCGTAAGTAAGTAAAGTAAGTATGTCATAATAACAGATTACTTCATTATTAATCATAATTATAATTAATGATATAAAGTAATAACTCAATGATAAAATTAAAAGAAACAATTACAAAGAATGAAAACAATCATTCATGTTAATATTGATCTTTTTCAATTGAAGGAATGAAATGGAATGATTTGTTTAAATTAATCATTATATAATTGAAATGTATGAATGAACATCATGGATCGTATTATGTTATTTATGATAACTTCAACTATTATTAACAATATCACTAATATTTATCCAATTCGATATTACTTTATATTAAAAAAAAGCCTTTTTTTCATAATTACTAATCGTAATAACAAGTAGTAATATTCATTACTCAATATGAATCATAATAATGACCATTTAAATTATGATAATGACAATAATATGAATAAGATCTTAGATCAGGATCTGAATTTAAAATTGGTTCCTTTGAATCAGTTGAATAATGAATTGAATTACTAGTTTCTAATGGAGTAATAAAATTTATTTCTTCATTATTAATTAATTGTAATTTTGTCTTGTTCATCGAATGTTCATGATTCATTGATTCATTTAACTGATTATTATCATTATTTTCATTATAATGAGTAGGTAGATAAGGAATTGTTAAACTATATTCATTCATTTCATATTGTTCATAATCATATACAACATTTTCATATTCATACAATTTATTATTTAATAGATCATTATGAGATTTTAATAATTCTGTACAATTTGATGAACAATTTCCTAGAGATTGACTAACATTTGAAATTGATGTAGACTGATTAGTTGGTATGGTCAATGAAACATTATTTGAATAATAATAATCTAAATGGTTCATTAATTGTTCATCGGTCAATTTATTTTGTAATAAATTTGACCTTATAACATTTTGTTGAATTTTTCTTGTATAATTAACATCATCATCATCAGCATCATCAATTGGTGATGATGAAATGGATGATGACGATTTGTAAGAATGATCATATGGTAACTTATTTTCATTACTATCAGATACATGATGCTTCATTAATCTAGAAGGATCACTTTGTAAAGCAGCTGCAATCTGATTGGTCGTTATTTGTGACAAACCATGACATAAATATTTTATAATATCTGTTATCGATTCAAAGTGTATATCATTTAATATTGAAGCTAAAAGACCAATGTAATTACAAGCTAAACGAAGCGTTTCAATTTTACTTAATTTTTGACCAAATTGATGAAAATTATTCACATTATTATTGTTGTTTATTTGATCTATTGGATTGTTGGTTTGGTGATTTTTCGAGAATAATTTATTACTTTCATTTTGTTTTTGATTGGTGTGAGTAGTACAGATAGTTGTGTCATCTTTTTTATCAAGATCAAAGGAAATATATCCACCGAATAAAGCAGATGGTATGTGTTGTCTTAAGGCATCTAATGCTGAATTTAATCCATGCATTCGGCTACGTTCACGTGCATTAGCTCTAGCTCGTCTCATTTTCATTCTAACAACACGTTCTTGTGAATCTGGCTTCTTTTTAGGACCACGACGTCTTATACCAGTTGGTACAACTAATGAGGGTTCAATAAAACATTGCGAACTAACATTGTCAGATGTAGTGCATTTCTGATGTTTTTTCGTTACATAAGAACGTTGAACATTCTTAGTTGAAATAAATGAATGATCCTGTTGCTTCAATTCTTCATGCATAAAGTTTGCTGAGTTTGAATGAAACGAATCTGTATAAATTTCATGGTTGTTTGGAAAAAAAGTTATTGGGTTTAAGTTATCATTTGTAACATTGAATGAGGAATTTTTTGAATGTTCAGTAAACATAACTGTTTGGTCAAAACTAAACCAGTTATGTGAGTTCATCACTTTTTTTACTGTTGTGGTCTTGAAAAGAATAAAATTGAAAAAAAAACTGCCTGTAATATTAAGAATAACTGCTTAAGAGGAATAAGAATAATGAATTTAATTTTACAAGGTCATGATAAATTGCATGTAGTGTGCCCACTCGATGTGAAATTTAAAAATGCTGGGTTCAGTCTAGTAGACCCATGTTCTCTGGTTCTCAATGGTCCTCCATTTCAAGTTTATTTAAGGCATAAACTACCTTTAAAATAAACTGTAAATTTACTTGCTAATTTGGCCTTGCTGCTCAGGACAGAGTTCCATGGAGAATTCTGGCGGGCGGCTTGTGTACCTTCCCGAGAGGCAGCCGGCTTAAGTATTCAAGTAAGTACTTTGGCCTTGTACTATTGTGAGTTGTAGGAGGCTTATGTCATTCTGATTCTATTTGTGCTCTTACATTTCCAAAATTAGGCTGTCAGAAAATAATGCTTAGATCTGTGTAAAGTGAAACAAACAAGAAGGCTCATTACATTTTTATTTAAAGTATACACGTTACGATAAATTGATCAAAGAACGAATAAGATTTGGTCATTTTTGTTGGTGGAACTCAACTGTGGAATTTGTCGGCAACTTCAGACAACAACTTCATTATTAAATGCAAATTAAATTGAAACAACAGCAAAAAGAAAATAACACTATATAAGAAAAAAATAGTTTGATCCTAAGTCGTTGTGAAAATCATTTAACTGTACTTACTTACTTACTTACGCCTGTTACTCCCAATGGAGCATAGGCCGCTGACCAGCATTCTCCAACCCACTCTGTCCTGGGCCTTCTTTTCTAGTTCCATCCAATTCTTGTTCATTTTTCTCATGTCTATCTCCAGTTCTCGGCGTAATGTGTTCTTTGGTCTTCCTCTTTTCCTTTGACCTTCAGGATTCCATGTGAGGGCTTGTCTTGTGACGCAGTTCAGTGCTTTCCTCAATGTGTGTCCTGTCCACTTCCAGCGCTTCTTCCTGATTTCTTCCTCCACTGAGATCTGGTTTGTTCTCTCCCACAGTGCGCTGTTGCTAATAGTGTCCGGCCAATGGATTTGAAGTATTTTGCGTAGACAACTGTTAATAAACACCTGTATTTTCTGGATGATGGCTTTTGTAGTTCTCCAAGTTTCTGCCCCATACAGTAGAACTGTCTTGACATTTGTATTGAAAATCCTGACCTTGGTGTTGGTTGACAGCTGCTTTGAGCTCCAGATGTTCTTCAGTTGTAAATATGCTGCTCTTGCTTTGCCGATCCGTGCTTTCACATCTGCATCAGATCCACCCTGTTCATCAATCATGCTGCCCAAATACGTAAAGGTTTTTACATCTTCCAAATCTTCTCCATCAATTGTGATTGGATTGGTGCATGCTGTGTTGTATCGGAGAATCCTGCTTTTCCCTTTGTGTATGTTGAGACCTACTGCTGCTGAGGCTGCTGCCACGCTGTTTGTCTTCTCCTGCATCTGTTGTTGCGTGTGGGATAAAAGGGCCAGATCGTCTGCGAAGTCTAGATCATCCAACTGCATCTTAGATGTCCATTGTATCCCGTGCTTCCCTTCAGACGTTGACGTCTTCATGATCCAGTCGATCACCAGGAGAAAGAGAAAGGGTGAGAGTAAGCAACCTTGCCTAACACCGGTCTTCACTTCGAATGACTTTGTCAACTGTCCTCCATGCACAATTTTGCAGTTTAATCCATCATATGAGTTCTGTATGATATTGACTATTTTCTGAGGCACGCCGTAGTGTCGAAGAAGTTTCCATAGTGTTGTTCTGTCCACGCTGTCAAATGCCTTTTCGTAGTCAATGAAGTTGATGTAGAGTGATGAATTCCATTCAATTGATTGTTCCACAATTATCCGTAGAGTTGCGATTTGGTCTGTACACGATCTATCCTTACGGAATCCTGCCTGTTGGTCTCGAAGTTGGGCGTCTACGCAGTCCTTCATCCTGTTTAACAATACCCTGTTGAAGACTTTTCCCGGTATTGAGAGAAGAGTGATGCCCCTGTAGTTATCACACTTGCTGAGATCGCCTTTCTTCGGTATTTTGATTAGAAGTCCTTCTTTCCAGTCTGTTGGTACTTGTTCCTCATCCCAAATCTTATTGAAGAGAATGTGGAGTATCCTTGCAGTTGCCGCTACGTCTGCTTTTAGTGCCTCTGCTGGGATGTTGTCCGGTCCTGCTGCTTTGCCACTCTTGATTTGTCTGATGGCCATGCTGATTTCTTCCATTGTTGGTGGGCCAACATTGATTGGGAGGTCCGTGGGTGCTGCTTCGATGTTGGGTGGGTTCAGTGGCGCTGGTCGATTCAAGAGTTCTTTGAAGTGTTCTATCCACCTGTTTTGTTGCTCTTCAATGTGGGTGATTACCTTGCCTTCCTTGCTTTTCACTGGTCGTTCTGGTTTGTGGCGATTTCCAGAGAGTTTCTTTGTCGTGTCGTACAATTGTCTCATGTTTCCTTCTCTTGAAGCCTTTTCCGCCGTCGTTGCTAAATCTTCCACATATTTACGTTTGTCGGTTCTGATACTCCTCTTCACTTGTTTGTTTATTTCCGTGTATTCAGCTTGTGCCTTAGCTTTTTCTGCTGTTGTTCGGCTGGTATTGATCGCTGCCTTCTTGTTTTTTCTTTCTTGAATCTTATCCAGTGTATCAACAGTGATCCATTCCTTGTGGTGGTGCTTCTTGTGACCCAGGACCTCATGACATGTTGAAGTGATTGCCTCTTTGATCCCCTTCCAGTTGCTCTCCACAGTAGTTCCTTCTCCATTGAGTAGATCATGAAAGGCCTGGAACTTGTTGCTGAGGACTATCTTGAATTTCTTGAGTTTGTTAGTATCCTGGAGAAAGGCCGTATTGAACTTTTGTGATACTGTCTGCCCCGTTGTCCAGTGCTTCTTGAGTTTCAATTTCATCTTGGCGACCAGTAAGTGATGATCTGATGCTATATCAGCTCCTCTCTTGGTTCTCACGTCCTCTATAGTCCTCCTGAACGTTTTGTTGATGCAAATATGGTCGATTTGGTTTTGTGTAGAGTGATCCGGTGAAGTCCATGTGGTTTTGTGTATGCGTTTATGTGGGAATATGGTGCCGCCTATGACCAGCTTATTGAAGGCACATAGGTTTGCAAATCTCTCACCATTTTCGTTTCTTTCTCCCAGTCCGTGTCGTCCCATGATGTCTTCATATCCAGTGTTGTCCGTCCCAACCTTGGCGTTGAAATCTCCCATCAGAATGGTCAGGTCCTTTGTTGGGCACTTCTCGACGATTGACTGCAGCCTATTGTAGAATTGATCTTTAGCGTCTTCATTGTAGTCGTTGGTAGGCGCATAGCATTGGATGATGTTCATTGAAATGCCCTCTTTCTTTGTTTTGAAGGAGGCTTTGATGATCCTTGGTCCATGAGATTCCCATCCTATAAGTGCATTTTGCGCTTGTTTGGACAGCATCAATGCAACTCCTTGTGTATGTGGTGCATTTTCTTCTTCATGGCCGGAGTATAACAGGAGCTCTCCTGTAGTTAGTCGTTGTTGTCCAACTTGTGTCCAATGTGTTTCACTGATCCCAAGTACCTCTAGGTTGTATCTTCTCATTTCTGCAGCAATTTGGAAGGCTCTTCCGGTGTCCCACATTGTACGAACATTCCATGTACCTAAATAAATGGTTGCTCTGGTTGTCAGAAGGGGCATCGGCCTCGTAACTTCCGAAGGAATTCGGCTTTCATCATGAGGCGTCATAATTCTTCTAAATGAAGACCTTCTGACTCCCAGGGCAGAGTTTAAAAGGTTTGAACAATTTTTTCTGGTTATCGTTTTTTTAGCGAGTTAGTTTTCTACGGGATGGGGACGCTAACCCCATGCCCAACCCTTCTCCTTTATCCGGGCTTGGGACCGGCAGTAGCCCCCGGAGGGACTCCAGGCGGAGTTCATTTAACTGTAGAATGTTTTAATTTATATTGATATACTTCAATGTTGCTATTTGTCTATGAACATGTTTTTTGTTCCTGAAAAATATGTTAAAACGTTGAGAAGTTCTAATGTAAAAAGCAGTTTATTATTGGTAATACCTAGATCATTTAAAATCAATAAATATAATATGGGCTTAATTTTAAAACTGATAATCATCTACAAAGTTAATGGTCACATCACTAGAGATTATGATCCAAAATTAATGTTTAGATATTAGCTAAACAATGAACGTAATAAATAAGTTACATTTCATAAGTTTTTATTCAATTGTAAAAATGTTCTAATGACATATCTTCTAAGTTTATATCAGTAAAATATTCATAACGAGAATTGTGACTATATCATTATAAAAACATACAGTTGAAGAGGATAATGTGATTGAAATTTATCTCGTTAACTCCAAATATTCTCCAACATTTTCAATATCTTAACTCAGAGAGGTAACATCATGTGTATCCATCAAATGCCCTGGTACGCCCGAGGGTGGGGAAAGTTAGCTTTCCTTCTTTAAATGATCTCACACGGCCAGGGAAGTCCTATTTACTGCCTTCTCACGGCATTGTTGTTGTTTACGAAGTTAAGAGGATGAAAAGCGAATATCCGGCGCTTTAACCGGGTTGGTGGATATGGAGGTTCCACCTAGGGGAGTTGGAAAACCCCGATTCCAAACCGATGGTGCACATGAGCTTCAGGATCCTGAAGGAACAAATGTTGGACCAATGTGAACCAATTACTAGTCACTGGCTACCATGGGAGTGCATCTTCTCACGTTATTCCACTGCCCTGTGGATAAGACCTTTAAGTCGAAGGATCATGGCGTGGCTCCTAAGGAAACCACCTGGTTCGGTTTGGGCGCCCGGGCGTTATCACAGCCCACACAGAAATCAAGTGACTTGTGTGGCGCATATGTATCCGGTGTCCCTTTGTACCAATATTCATGTGTTCAGATAAATAAATAAATAAAATAATAAGTTCCAGAAAACCTACAAAATTATTTTATTTATTCCATTCTGTTTAACTTCTCGATTAGTTA